TTCAGGATTCTTTGATGAATAAAAAGTTAAAAAGAACAGCATTTATTCAAAATAGAAATATTTTCTAACAATACAAGTCTTTACTATCACTTTTTTATAAATGTAACATATCCTTGCTGAATAAAAGTATTAATTTCTTTAAAAAAAAATATATATATATATATAATATACTGACCCCAAACTTTTCAACGGTAGTTCAAAAGATGTCAAAAGATTTATATTTAAATAAATGCATTTATTTGATAAATAAATTATCAAAGAAATGCAGCCTTGAAGAGCAGAAACGTCTTTTTTTTTTAAACGTTAAACATCTTACTTATACCAAACTTTTGAACTGTATTGTATATAATATATAGGGCTGTCAGTCGATTAAAATTTTTAATCTAATTAATTACAGGGTGCTGCGATTAATTAATCTAATTAATCGCAAACTAAATATGACTGTGAAAATACACCTAAAAGATCGTTTAAAGCTATTATTGTTTTAAATGCTTAGGCTACAATGGCCTAACATAAAGTATGGAACATAAAAGAAAATAATTTGAGAAACATCAGTATTTTTTGTTCATGCAATGAAAGTCACTAGTGACCAAAACAGCTTAGTTACCAACAGTATTCAAAATACCTTCTTTATGTTGTGCAAAAGAAAGTAAGTCATTCAGGTTTGAAACAACATGAGGGTGAGTAAATGATGACATTATTTATTTATTTATTTTTGGTGAACTATCCCTTTATTTATTAAAATAAATTAATTAAATGAGACTCTAAGGAAGAAACTAAAACTACCAGCAGGTGGCGGTAAATGTCTATGAGTCGATTCGTTCAAACGGCTGATTTATTCAGGAATTCAGTAAACAGCTCTCTCCAAATCATTGGTTCACACGATTCGTTAAAAACGCGGATTCATTCAGAAACTAAACACCGCTGTGTTGCTCGGAGACGCACAACAGTTCAGCTGTGGCTTTATAGGTAATATTTTCGTTGGTAAAATTGAATAAAAACACACAATATTGTGTTTAAAATATAGTACAATATTAACTTCTTATTTACTGAACTGTTATAAAATCTCATTTGCACTCGTGTTCTTCTATGGTTCTTCGTGACAAAAACGGCACTCCTGTGATATTGCTCGCGTTGCTGGTGTGATATGATATGAATATGAGACAAAAACTCATACAGGGGCTTTTTTTTTTTGCCCCTATATCTTGAATTTTAGGGCATAACTGCATTTATAGAGTTGTTGCCCACTTGCCCTGCATCATATTTGTCATCAGTCAACTGTATGAAATAAGATGACATAGGCCTAGAGGTCTGGGGGCGGGGCCAGTGTGCGTTAACTGCGTTAAAATATTTTAATCGCGTTATTTTTCATAACTAATTAAGTTAACGCGTTAAACTGACAGCCCTAATAATATATATAAAATACTTATATATTTACAAATATGATCATAAATACATATTTAACATCAGTATCTAACAAACAAATCCGTAAAATATTTACTAAAATATTAGTAATTAATAAATATTCATATGTACAAACATGACATCTGAATGGTAGTGTTCATAAGACATATGAACATATATCCAAGATATACACTTTATATATAAAAGGTTATGGAAAATAAATATGAATGCCTTTAAACTGCAACTGTGAATTGCACTTCTATGGAAAACAATATTCAAATGCAGTGGAAAAAAATAAATATGGAAACCACCTTGTTATCAAGTTTCCTCCCTTTAACTGAATGATTAACATTTCTACAGTATCTTGCTGTATACAGAGACAGATCTCAATGGACTTTAAATTAGGCTGTAGGTCACAATCTGAAGAATATGTAAAACACGTAGGAAAGATATTAAATACAGAAAGAAGAAGTGTTAAGCCTAGGGCACAAACTACAACTCACCCACTGCATCAGCTTTGCATAAACTAAATTTAATGCATCTCTTAAACTAGGGCTGGACGATATGGCCAACATTTATATCACGATATATTTCTTCATTTCGGTCGATACGATATAATTCCGATATCGATATGAACACTATTTATCTGAAATGAGTTTCTGTAAACTTCAAGAGAATTGTAAACTGCAGTTTCTGTTGCATATGAGAAACATCAAATGGCAAACAAAAATGAAAGCATAACGAAACAGCGCTTAGAGAGTATACTCGTCGCGTCAGCACGAGCGCGAAGGTGCGCGCAGCAAAAATGACGCGCTGAAAATGCTCATAAAGTAAAAGTATAATTTACAGAAGGGAAATCACATGTTATAAGAAAACTACAGCCAAACTGGAGCACAAAGCATTGTTTCCAAAGGGAGGGGGATGTTTTATTTTTAAATAAAGTTCCCAGTTTTTGTTTGCATGTGCAAAATACTAGTTTAAGCTTCAAATAATCGAGGTTAGACGGTTATTTAATTATCGCGACAGGCCTATCTCTGAGGTCCCTTCTCTTATAATAACTAAATTTCAAGTCACATCAATATTTCAGGCATATTTTTTTTATTTGGCAAGTAGCCATTTAATAAGCAGAAAAACATGCAGATAGCTGGTCACGTCATTTTGCCCATTTGATATGTACTAAAACAATCATGAAGACAATTAATTTGCCTGTTGTTTTTAAAACCAATTTCACCAGAAAAAAAGAACTTCGTGAATACCTGTAGTACCCATTCAGTTGTTTTGTTTTTTTTCTCCAAAATTTTTGAAACTTCAGCACTCATGGTCTCATGTGATATTAAATTGTCCATCAAAAGAGCAGTTCATTATCTTGGTGGAAGCAGAAAGTTATCTAGGAAGATCTGAGGTCATAAGAGCTAGAGATGAAATCACAAAGAAAGATTAGTGAAACTGGTTTAAAGATCAAAGATTAACATGTTTCAGTCATGGAGCAAGTATGTGAATAATTTCCCTCAAAACTTGTTTGTCTGAAAACCAGAAACAAAACAGCCTCTATATAAACAAACAAAACAGCAACTGAGTTCACTGACATTACCTGTGTGCAGCTTTCTCAGGTGACTTGGCCTGGTCTCCAGTTTGCTCAGGCATGATGATCTTCCTGCCTGCTGAATGAGCACAGTGTTCCTGGACCGCCTCCCACGGGCGTCTGGATTGGAGCTGCTGTCCTCACTCAGTTCTGGAGCTTGCTCATTCTCACTGGCCTCTGACTGGTCAGGGTTAGCATTAGGGTCAGTGTTAAGGTCCAGCTCTTTCACTGTTTGCAGCGTTACAGGTTGCGTATGGGCAGTGGTGCTCTCGAACTGAGTGTTGGCTGTGTGGCTGGTATCTGGCAGTAAGTGCTTTTCCGTGCTGGCCTGGGCTGGGGTGAAGGACACCTGCGAGGTAGAAACAGCTTGGTTGAAGTTTTCGGGTGGAGCAGCTGGACTAGGGGCTGGTAAAGCGTCCACTTCAGAGACAGAGTCTTCGGTAACGTGAACAAAATCGGATGGTGTTATTGCCGTGGTGCGGTCTTCTGAGATCATGGGCGACTGTAGAGAACTCTCAGCCAGTTCTCCAGGCCAAGAACCTGGGGTACCAGTTTTAGGAGGATCTTCCGCAGTATCCTGACCTTTACCCTGGTCTGGGACATTGGACAAGTTCTTAGAAAACCGCTGGTGAGCTGATAAGGACTTGGGCAGCAGCTGCTTCTTATGCTTGGAAGACCTCTTGCTGCTCACATCATCGAGGAACCCTGAATCATCTCCCTCATTGGTCCTTGAGCTGATGCAATTAATAAACACGCTGCGATTGGTGGACGCTTTCTCAAGGTTTTCCGTCTGAGATCGGGTGATCTTCTTCTTGTGTCCGCCAAATCCGAATGAATGCCGCGTCTTTGAGATGGAACCGTCTCGAAAGGTGGCTTCAGATCCCTGGCTGCGATTGTCCAGGCTGAGCTGGGTCGGGTCACTGTTTCTTTTGCTGTGGAAGCTGAGGGACGGTGTGCGGAAGAGGCTGCGGCGTTTGCTCGTGCTGCTGGAGCTGGAATTGGTGCTGGAGGGAGAGGAAGTGTGGACGCCATTGCCGACACCACCGGAGGAGGGCGAGGAGGGGAGCGATTCCTGCCTCTTTCGCACACTACGTCTAAAGATGGGAAGCCTGGAGACCAGGGTGGAGCGGCGTGTCCCTGATTCACCCATTAAGATCGAGCACCAGATCAGACACTCTGTAAACACGTAAAAAGACAAACTCAGAATTAGCATGACGGCCTTAACACAGAGACACAATCAAGATTGGAAATGACCACCAGCCAAATAATTGTGATGATTCTGGCTTCTACACTAGGCAACATGTCTCGCTTCTGACAAGAAATTCTGTTGTTTAGAAACAAACTCTTGAGGAACCAATTTGTTAACAGTTTGATAAACAGGCGCAGGGAAAGTTGGCAAGACGCATAGCAGCCTTCAATAGCTTGCTGTCTTTGTTTAACAGTTCTGCCTAATAACTAAAAGACATATGCTATAATAATTTTCATATTTCAATCTACGGTGCTCTAATTATCTAAATTATCTTGGTTTAACGCTGGATCCAAACCTTAGTTTTAAAAAACATGTAAAGAAATCGGTGAGGACTATAAAGTATAACTTGATCAATTTCAGACAAATTAGACAATGTCTACCCACTAATGTAGCTAAGACTTTTATGCATGCTATCTTTTCTCATCTGTCATACTGTCTGACATGTTTGGGTCAAGCAGGAGAAACTGTTATTAAACCTTTAAAATCTCTTTATAAGCAGACTTCAAAATCTCTGGACAAAAGGTTAACCAATATCACCACTGTAGGGTTTTGGAGAAACCCTACAGTGGTGATATTTGATCATGTTAGACTTTTCTCAAATTTGTGTATGGTATATAAAATTTTAAATGGTTTGGCCCCTTCTATACTTCGTGATTTTATGCATTTTCGCTCTACAGTCGCTGTAAGATCTACTAGATCATCATCTACTAGTGATTGTGTTGTTCCTTTTCGTCATTCTGTCTTTGGATCATCGTCTTTCTCAGTAAATGCTATTATTCATTGGAACACTCTACCAGAAGACATAAGGATGTGCACATCTATTGACATTTTTAAACTAAAACTAAAATCTTCTCAACTCTGTAAACACTGGCATGGTTGTGGTTTAACTGGACGCTATGTTTACTGTTCTTTTTAGGTTCTGATAGGATGTGTACAAGTATTACTGTTTTGTATGTGTTTGTTGTCTTATGTTTACCTATGATTATGATTACCTGCCAAGGAACCACGGATGAAAACTAGCCATTGGCTAAATTCGGTACAATGCATGAAATGGAAACATTTATGTTAAAATTGTGCATGGTCCCTTTTCAAATTAATTTAAATAAATAAAATAAGTAGGATCCGAAGTAAGTAAAAAAAAAAAAACATTACAAATATAAAAACACTGCATGTTCACTTGATTTTGAAATTTGCACAATTCCAAATATTTTTAAATATTTGTCAAAAATAGAAAAAAAAAAAAGACAATGTTTAATTTTTTTTATATTCTCATTAATCAATGTTCTTGTATTATTAGTAGTATTTTAGTGGGAAAAGGAAAGAAAATAGGACATCAACTTTAGAGGTAGTGTAAAATGGGTTCCCAAAAATAACAGCAGACACAGACCTATTAGTTCAGATTCCACTTGTAAGCCACAGTGTCCTCAGTGGTCCTCAAGTGTGGGGAAAATGTGAATTAAAATACTGTATCAATTCACTAATTGGCTGGTAAAAACTTGAAAGGCTTGTAAAATTCTGGATTCTCTTTGTCTAATAGGCAAACATTTAATTTCCCACCATAGACACAATGATGCAGATTCACAAGGGAAAAATCCAGGAGAGCTGCATTACTGTTTGCTGAGCACAATTAATTACAGCACATTAAGCATACTGTGCTGACCTTCTGCCAATACATACTGTACTGAAATCACAGCGAATCAGTAAAGGTGATCTGAAGGTGCTCCCTCTGACAAATTTACAAAACATGTACACACCCCATAACATTGTTGTGACAGTTGGAGATACACCCTTGACAGCAACTTAGCCTGCTTGACCTGGCATGTTTTAATAGGTAATGGCAATCTTAAGCACACTTAATTATTTTAAGATATTTATCATAATAATCATGACAATGCCAATGTAATAAACAACAGACCAACTCATGAAACTTTTATGCAAGTCAAAAATGATGGCACACAAGCTATAACAATACGGGTTTCGTGGGAAACAGGTACATTACATTTGACATAACGAACATTCAGAGGCATTATACGCCAGCAAAAATAATGTTATAAATAATTTAACTTGCATAAAATCTACGGCGAGACTACGCCAAGCAAGAATAGGCTATCCATTAAGTGTGATAATCTATGAATCAAAGCAAAAAGGCCTATAACCTACAATCTGTTGTGATCTGCCTCTCTAAACACAAGCATTTTTGGGCATCATACGAGCGTACATAATATTTAGGAATCGTAGCACTGCTACAGAGCTCAAAAATTATATTTAGGTATTTCGCTGTTTTGAGACACAGCAATTGCGCAATACAGACCTATTATTATATATCCATCATAGCATCTGCAGTGATGGACACACGGCGTCAGGAAACACGGAATAAGCAACAAAACAGCGACATAAAGCAGCCGCCTGCTGCAAGCTCTCTACAGCTCCGCACACAAACATTACCTTGAGATGAAATCTCTGTTTACAACCCGAGATTCCCTTCGCTGTCAGTTTGAGCGTGAAGCCGCAATGCTCGTGGCATCACATCCGGCGAGTTTCACGTCAAAGCGCTAAATTCTCATGTCAGAATCCTGCCTCGCTCGCGCTAAATCCACCTCAAGTGACGTGGAATGTCCTCGCGCTTTGCTTCCGCGTTTCCGGCTCTGCGCATGACTCGAGGTACCTGCGTGAGCGTCATTTAAAGACGGCCCACAGGTGCAGTGGCCCTGAGGGTGATTCATTGACTGAGCGATTCACTGACCCTAGTGATTCTTTGAATCTTTGAAGATTGATTCACTGACTCAGATGATTCTCGGCTGGAGCGAATCACTTCCGTCAGGACACACGCTGGGAGTTGGGGGCGGATTGGCAACAGCTGGTCTGTGACTGGAGCGTGCATGGTAGGAAGTGGCGTTGATTCCGGAAGTGATCCGGAAATGGAGGATGAATTGTGTGGCGCGGAAAGTGGAGGTAATGGAGATGAATGGAATGTAGTGGTAAATAGGAAAAGAAAGAAAATTAGTGGAAATATATCTGAAACACAGTGAGAATGGAAGTCATATGTCAAGGAAAAGAAAAGAAGAGTGTAAGGTATTGATGAAGTTTGCTGCTGGATCTTTGAATGCAATTAACCCGTTGAAACTGTCTAAAGCACTGAAGGAAAAGATCGGAATGATGGAAAGTGTTAAGACTTTAAGAGAAGGTAGACTTTTGTTGTTTTGTAATGATAACAGACAACAAAAAGTGGCTTTAGGAATAAAATCGGTTCTAGGACAAAAAGTTATTTGTTCAATTCCAGAAGACAAAAGACGGGTTAAAGGAGTAATATCAGGAGTATCTCCTGATGTTCAAGTTGAAACGATTAAGAAAAATTTAACTGGAGCGACAGTGTTCGACGTGAAACGATTGAAGTGTACTAGAAACAATGAAAAAATTGACAGTGTTGAAGCGATTAAGAAAAATTTAACTGGAGCGACAGTGTTCGACGTGGAACGATTGAAGTGTACTAGAAACAATGAAAAAATTGACAGTCTCTCAGTCATGATTCACTTTGATGAAAATAAGCTACCTAGCAGAGTCTTCTTAGGATTTGTAAGTTATATGGTCAGGCCATATATTCCGCCTCCTCTGAGATGTTATAAGTGCCAAAGGTACGGGCATGTGGCGGCAGTTTGCAGGGGTAAACAGAGATGCGCAAGATGTGGGGGTGAACATGAATATGGTCAATGTGGGCAAGAAATTAGTCCCAAATGCTGTAATTGCGGAGGAGAGCACAGTGCGGGATACGGAGGATGTAAGGTGAGGAAGCAGGCGGCGCAAGTTCAGACAGTCAGAGTCGAGGAAGGGATATCGTATTCTGAAGCGCTGAAGGAAGTTGGAAAAAAGAATGAAGAAGGGAGTAGTAGGGTATCATTACCTGAACAAAAAATGAAAAGCAAACAGGATGAAAAGAAAGAGATATCAAGGCCCTGCGATAGTAAAAGAAAAGAGTGTAATAATCTCACACTTATCTGCATCATTATTGAAATTCCATGTAGGCTATATGAAAAAAATTGTTTCAATTTATAGATAGCCTTTCGCATTATTGCAGAATTTTTGAAGGCTAAAAGTAAAAGCAGAAATTCTATTAGAGCATGTTATGTTAATATAAGAAATATCGATTTGTCAGTGAAGTGGTAAGCTTTTCCTCTTTGCTTGTTTGTTTTGTTTTCTTTTTATTATACTCTGGCACCATTTAATTTTACTTTATTGTTTGCTTAAATATAGGCTATAATCTGTTTATTGTGTTTTTTTTAATGTTTATTTTGAAAAAAAAAACGTTTATTTTGGTGTTGTTAATGTTAGTATACGTATATAATCAGTTTATTTCATTTTTTTATTATTTTTAAGGACACCGCAGAAACAATTTTCAGGTGCAAGTGAGGCGGTCGTTGTTTACTGATGTGTTTATGATGTTGAATACATTGTAGCTAGGCCTATATGTAACGTTAATGAGGAGTAAATGTCGATCAGTTGTTTAGAAGGGATCAAAGGGGCACTTTGAACAAATCTAGACCTCTGAAGCACTTTTAAATAGCCTATATTAAAGTCTCCAGTTTTCATTGTCACGTGATTTTTTTTTCTGTAAGCAAGCAGTAAAATTATTCTTATATAATAAATTTATATTTTTTAAATTAAATTAAAATGGTCCGCCCAATACCTACTATATATAGGCCTAATATCTAACTCATTAGCTAATCGAGCCAGGAAATACAAAAGTGCACGAATTAAATCACTCCTGAAAAAATGTCACGTTTTACAACGTATTGCAACTTTAGCCTGAATCCCATAACTTCGCTGAGCTAAAATTCCTCCATAGCCTCCCGCAATTCTTTTGAATTCCACGTGGTGTCCCTGTTGCTACAAAATTAAGCTTCTTACAATGCATGTTTATGGAAAAGTAAGCAAGTTACGTTTGAGAAGCAGCTAATGTTCATGACATTTGAGACTTCACTCACTGGTTATTCATTTATGATAACGTTGAGTCTAAAAGTAATAGTTCAGCCAGAAATGAAAGTTCTTTCATTATTTTTAGGCAGAATGACATGCCCAGTTACCATTCAGTGTCATTGTATGGAAAAGATGCAATTCATCTGAATTAAATTCGTGTAAAAGAAACTATAGGCTAATCATTGTTTGTTCTGTGTAAACTGTGTAATATGCGCAATCCTATGCGTAAACGTGACTATGTATGGTGAATTCGGGTAATCTTTGACATTGGGTAATCTGGGACATCTAAACTCCAGTGTGTTTATTTCCTGTTCTAACAAAATTTAGTCAACAGGACTTTTTTTTTTTTTACATATATGTCATGTGACTGAAATCACACGACTTCATTGGGGTGATTCCACAGAAAGGGGCGGGGCACTTGTCAATCAAGAAGCTCCCCTGGGAATTGCATGACAAGGTCAGTGACATAGGATTCTGACTAGATTAATGTTAAGGACATAAGTGTGTAATAAATAATACAATGTTCCTAATTGTTGTCAAATTATGTTTGTGATCTATTCAAGCAACAAAATATGTATTAAAATGTTGAAAATGTATTTTAGTTTTTTTTCTTTCAAACATTTTTTTGTTGTCCCACATTATCAAATATGATTGAGAATGTGGGACAGCATGCTTTGGGTAATCTGGGACAGTCTTCAAATGGAGGAAATATGTATTTAGGGACTTTATAAGTCTAATGACAAGGGATAATATATGCTATAATGAGAAATGGGTGTTAAAGGGTTAGTTCACCCAAAAATGAAAATTAGGCTGCGTTTTACTCACCCCCGAGGCATCCTAGGTGTATATGACTTTCTTCTTTCAGACAAATCCAGTTGGAGTTATATAAAAAATTGTCTTTGATCTTTCAAGCTCTATCATTGCAGTCAGTGGGTGTTGCATTGCTTCAGTCCAAAAGAACTGAAATAAAAAGCACCCATCCATAAAAAAAAAGTGTCTCACACGGCTCCGGGGGGTGAACAAAGGCCTCCTGTAGCGAATCGATGCGTTTTTGTAAGAAAAATAACCATATTCAAAACATAACAATTACTTTAATGTAGCTTGCGCCAACAGTTGTACACAGAAGCAGCTCCGGGAGGATGACGTATGAGGTCAGCGTT